GGTCTCGGGGTGTTTGGTGGGGAGGGAGGGCGGGCTGCTGGGTGCCATTCCTTGGGGAGTGGCGTGAGGAGCAGGCTCATGTCCGCTCCTGTGCCCACCAGCCTCTCTGGAGCAGGCAGATGCCTCACTCCCGGCCACGCTGCGTGTCAGAGGGCAATAATTCTTCCTTGCATGCAAGAACTCTTCCTTGGCTTTGTAACACCCACTACAAAGGGAACCTTTGCTTCCTCCCTCCTTCCAAATTGTTGCAGAGAGTCATACCCCCAGCAGATAGCTACCATCCAGCTCCCCAGCAGGTAGCAACCATCCACCTTCTCAAAAGCTTCTCTGCTGCCTTAGGTTGCTTTCTTTTGGGGTTTGGAAAGAAGCAGCAGTGAGCAAAATATCAGCTTCAGGGAGGAGATGCTCCTTCCAAATGGAGCGCCGAGTTTGGGGTGCCCATCCCCAGGGCAGGAGGGGTTCAGCTGCTGGGAGATGACACGTTGCTGTCATATGTCCATAGATTTCTGCAGCTCGTAGCTGGTGCCAGCAGGACTTGGAGGGTCTCTGGATGTTCCCGTTGCCACCAGAGGGAGAAGGGCTCAGCGCAAGGGTGGCGGGAGAGGAGGATGCTGTGAGCACTTGATGTCTGTGTAATTCATTGTGGACGGGGATAACCAGGCAAGCATCCCTGCGAGCTGGAAAATGTGAGCTCTGTTTTGTCTCGCTGCCGTGGCAGCTGACGCTGATGACAATACAAAATTGTTCTCATTACAGTATTGCAGGGGCAAACTTCAACTTTCATCGGTTGTAAAGCCACGCACGAGTGTCGGGCCCTGGGATCAGAAACAAGGAAAGCGGGTACAGGGAGATCCTCCCATCAGCTTTGGGAGTCAGCTGGTTGAAAACCAACTGCTTTGAGGAAGGAAACACAATCTGCAAATAATGTTCTTGCAACCTTCCCCCCGACCTGAAGCTGTGGAGCTGAGGCCAGTTCCCCTGCAGAAATCAGTGCTGGTGATGGATGTGTCCATGACAGACTGCTTCCTAGAAGGGAAAACCACCCTGTGCTGGAAGAAGAGGAGAGGTAGCACAATGCCTTTGAGCTCCTCTTTGACATTCTTCCCCCAGCACATCCCTCCCTGGTGGAGTGCAGACCCTGCCAGGTGAGCTGTAGCTCTCCATGCTTGTCTGTCTCCCAGTCTGCAGACCCCTCACAAATAGTCCATCAGCTCCTGGGAGCCAACAGACCATGGGCTGAGACCTTCTGCTCTAGAGGGACCTGAACCAAAGCTGGGACAGTTCAGGCAGGAAATAAGTGACATATTTCCATCAGTTAACAGTAATGAGTCACTGGAAGAATCTGCCCTGGGATCTGCAAGCCCTTCACTTCCAAGAGTCTTTAGACTCAGGGCTGGATGTCCTCCAAAGTGATGCTCTGCTTTGGCCACATGTGAGGATGCTGCTTGGGTGATATGCTCTGCCTGGGACTAGGCAGGAGGTTGGACAAATGACCTTAATGATCTACAAGTCACTTGTTGAATGAATAAATAAGAGGTTACAGAGCAGTAGTGGGGCAGGACAATAGGGATGGTGAAGCTGCTGGTGTGTGGGACCGTGGCTGCTGGAGTGAGCTGGTGTGGCTTTGTGGGCTGCACGTCCCACAGATCAGATCTGTAAATCGTGTGTGGGGCGTCCCGAGTCCCAGCGGCCAGTCGTGGTTCTGGGCACCAGCATGACTCCAGGTGCTGAGATGAGATCTGTGTCTGTCTGGAGCTGCCCACTGCCCTCGGGATGGCACAAGGAGCTCTGTGGCTGCATGATGGAGGATACATGCTCCTTTAATTGTGTGGCTACCCTTTGGTTTTCCTCTCCTAGATCTGAAAAAAGGGTGAAAAGACACAAAAACTGGGGCACTTAGTGGGCTTGGGGTGATGTCCAGCACAGGGGCTTGTTCCCCTTCTACAGGGTGCTGTGCTGAAGTGCTGGGATGAAACAGGATGAGCCTTGTCCTCTCTGGCGAAAGCCAGGATGTGTTGCTATAAGGGTCCTTCCTCAACCTTGCAGTCCCAGGGAGCTGATCCCATGGGTTCCCGTGGAGCTGAGCTCCTCTGGGTGTGTGGGAGAGAGCTGCCGACCCCCTGGCCGTGCCAGGGGGATTGGGGCTGGCTTGGGGAGCAGGAAGTGACACAGGCAATACCATGGGAGCTGGTTTGAGAGGAGTCTGCTGCAATTCCACAGATTAAGGCAGGTAAAAGAAACAAGGCAAATCCAGGGTGTCCCTTCTCCCCCCAACCCTCCCCACTCCTGGAAGTCACAGGGCAGCAGTTTTCTGCACAGGCAGTTGGGTCTCTGCCCTGTTGGCACTGACATAGACCCACCAGTAACTTTCTAACCCTCTCTGAATACACTTTATACTGTTGATCTCCACAATATCTCAGGGCAGTGGATTTCGGGCTTTAGTTGTGCAGCAGGTTTCTACGACAGCAGAGGACACTTTCTGCCTTATTTTCTAATCCTCTCCTAGCAATTCCTGCCACTTGACTTTCTGCTTTTCCGTCTGAGTGTGCACTGGGCCGTTTCCCCATCGCACAACTTCACACCTCTTGGTGTTGCATTACCTCTGCTGCGTTATAGCTCAGCACCGTGACCTCCTGGTGCTCTTTTTGGCTTTGGCTGCCCCAGACCATTTGGTATTGCCTTTGCCCAACCACCTCTTTCCCTGCTTTTGGGTGCTCTGTGACTACTCAGCACCTGGGCCTTTGCTCCCTGGGAAACACTCTGCAACCTAAGAGCTCATGGCTTATTCATTTTGTTTCCTGTCTTTTAGCTAGTAGTCTGGACAGAATATGACCCTTCTCCTTGCTGCCTCTTAGCTCAATTTCTCTAGATCTGGAGGAGAAAACCCCCAGGGAGCCATGTGCTGCTCTGGTCCCCGTGTTCATGCTCCTCTGCAGCAGGCTGGTCGGGGGCTGTCCCCAGGAGCCATCCTGCCCGCAGCATCCTGTACCAACACCAGCTCCTTGCAAATCCACTCAACTGAGGCTCTGCCAAGCCCCCAGGGAAGGTGGGATACCCTTCAAGTCCCACATCTTCTCACGCCCCCAGCCTGTCTCTCTTCCACTGTGCCCCATCAGTGCCCAGCCTGAAGCTCACCAGGTTGATGCCTCCCTTGGTGCACAGGATGGAGCCTGGGAGAGCTGGATTTGGTGCTGATTTGGGCTCCCAGTGTTTGTGCTGCCCAGCCCCTACCGAGTCTGTGTGCTTGACAGGGCAGCATCTGTCTGATGACTTGGATGTGCCTGCAGTGATGGTGTAGGAGACAATCTCCTTACTTCTCCACTGTCTCCAACTCTCCAAGCAGGTCCAGACCTCCACGTTGCCCGTTTCCAGCTCCCAGGGCTGTGTGATAGCTTTCTGGTGGTCTCTGCTGGGACCACTGACAAGTGCTTGTCCCAGGAGGAAACCTGTAACAGGTGATCATCCCTGATGTCTATGGAGCATCAGTTAGTGTTTACAGGTTTCCACCCCTATTTACGACGCTGATTTGACCTGATAACCTGGCAGCGAGGGGCTCTGCGGCCGGCTCCTGGCTGCATCCCATCTCAGCCTGTTCCCTTCCTGCTGGGGGAAAATGTGGGTGCTGCTCCCAGGGCTGTGGGTGTGAACTGGGGCCAGCATTAACACAAGCTGCTGCTTCATGGGGAACCTGTGAGCTGCCTGGGGCAGACCCTACGGGCTCTGTCACACTCAGGGGGATTCTGACGGGGAAAACCAAACCAAGCCCTCGCCCCTGACACCCCTTCTTCAATAGCCCACACTTATTACCCTGGAATGAATTAAGATGGATCTAGCAAAGCCCTGCAATTAGCTGTTTTGCAGGGAATTTTGTTAGCCTGTTTTCTTGTGCCTCTTGAGTTTCCACCATCTCCAGGCATCAGCTCGAGGGTCCCCAAGCCAGAGGGAAGCCCAGCAGCTCTGTTGTGGGACTGCGGTCCCTCTGCCCTGTCCCCGCTCCATGTGGCCTCCACATGCTCCCTGCTTGCTGCTGCCCCTCTCACAGAACACGGGGACCACTTGCTGTTTGGGAGCCTGGGATGAAACCCAGGTCTTGGGGAAAAGCTGTGAGGCACAAGGTGAAGGTGGCTGAATCACTCATCCCCTTGCCCAGGGCAGTCTGTTCCTGGCTTGTGCTGCTTGTTCAGGGCAGGTGGGGAAACCACAGAGCCACGTCCCTGTCACGTGCATGGACACATCTCTACTCAGTAAAATATTTATTCCTCCATTATTTCACAAGAGTTGTTTTTACAAAAACCTTACAAAAATTTCCAAAACAGACATGCAGAAGAAAAAAAAAATCCACCGTGGATCTTGTTACAAGTAATTGAAATGTACAAATAGAAAGGGCGAGAGGGAGATTAGATTACAACAATCCCTCTGTCCTGCTACCCCTCCGTGGGTGCAATTTGTATCTCATCTTGGTGAGTCTTCAGCGCTGACTGACAAGTCGCAATAAGCTGCCAAGAGCATGGCGAAGGAGGGGCCCTAAGATTAGGAGCGAATGTTTTCAAATATATATATACATATAGATATTTAGTGAAGAAATATTTATTCCCTGCTTTTTTTAGGTTTACAGAAACGGCATCTGCAAACTATTAAATGGGTTTATTTTCATTAATGCTCTCAAAGAGGCAATGACATTTATATCCCTGTGGTTTCATCTTGTATAACCGAAAAAAGAGCCCTGTGCTTTCCATGGGAATAGGACCCCCCCGGCCCCCTCCTCCTGCCCCAAGCGGTGTTTCTCATGCTGGATGATTTGATCCGCAGTGGATCCATCTTCCCCCCAGCCTGGCATGTCTCATCTTTTGCTGGGTCTCGGTCTGGTGTGTCGCTGCGATCTGGAGAGCTGTGTGCTCCTGTTCTGGCATGGCAAATGGGGGAGATAAGAGACCTGGAAACAGGGGTGGAGGGCACAGGGTGGGTATTTAGGGTGACTTTGCTCCCTGGATGAGGTGGGCAGTGTCGGTCAGGCTGTGCCCCCTCCTTTCCCGCTGTGCTTGAGGAGGAGGCAGCGGTTCCCAACCAGGGACTGCATTGAGTGGAGCAGAGAAAGCTGAGGCCGGGGGCAGGATGGAGGGGCCAGGTCACCCCCAACCAGAGGAGATGTGATCCTCTTCTGGTTGTCCCACTGGGCCTCCAGCTCTGGGTGCTGGGTGAGTCCGCCCAGGCAGGTGCTGCCTGGGGTGAAGCTGAGGGTCCTGGTGTCGCAGCCACTGGGTACCACGAGCAGCTGCAGTGAGAGCCCAGTGGGCAAGGGAGAGGATGCTCCTGGGAGCGGTGCGGACTTGGGTGGGCGCATGTGTAGTTGGGACACTTTCAGCCTTGGTGTTGCACACCAGAGGATGTTTATCCGGAGGAAGCACCTTAGCCATTGCTGTATTTGTCTCAGATCTACTGCTACAGACCCCAGCAGGGATAAGCTCTTCTAGGCAAGTAGGGCTACTGCCTTCTCCATCCAGGCCACCCATTTGAGCTGGTGGTGGTGTCCTCGCACTTGGCTGGTGGCTCTTTGAAATGGGTGAAGAAAGGGCAGTCTGCTGTCCAGAGGGCTTTGTCCACAGGGTAAAATCTCCATCTCTCCAGCTTGTCCCCCACTGCTGCAGTATTGGCATGGGAATGTGAAGGGTGCGTCTCTCTGCGGCTCAGTCCCATGGACGAAGAGCTGATGTGATGTAAGCCTGGGGCAAGGTTGCCCCCCCCGCCCCCCCTCCATGTCCATCCCCCTGCACATCCCACCTTGCAACTTCATTAGGCTGCACGGCAGGGTGGAATGAAGGAGAAACCATTTCCTTTCTGCAAAACCAAAAAAGCCCACCCCCATGGAGTCGCCAGCCCCAGACCCCCGCACACATCTGCGGAGCTGCCGACGGGGAGGCTGTGCCTCCGGAAGGCGAAGCCTGCTTTGCCGTTGGCACGAAGTGCTGGGAGCCGCCTACTCAGCTGAAACCCAACAGCTTTTTCCAATTTTCTCTTTCCCTGGGACGGTTCAATGACCTGGGGCTCTGCAGAATCGCTGGCTAACCCACTGAGGCAGGGCAGTGGTGCCTGCTTGGGGACTAGTGATGCTCCCCCAGCTTGCAGGAGAGCTCACAGGCTCCGAGCGAGTCTGTTGAGATGCTCCAGCCCTCCTCGCCCCTCTGGGAAGGGGCAAAGCCTGATGCCATCGACATAGTCAGCTCCTAAATGCAGGCAGCGCGGTGCAGGGGGCTGGCTGGGACTGGCCATGGCAGGGGTGAGCCGCCAGCTTCCCAAAGTCTTTCCCAAGCACCGCAGCTGGGGATGCACAAAGAGGCGAACACGCGGGTCAGCTTCGGCACACGCGGTTGAGCGCCGCGAGTCGCAGCCCGGCAGAAAGCGGGGCTCGTGATCCTCCCACCGCTGCATGCCATCCCTGCGGGAGGAGAAGACCCAATAACTCTTTGGCTCTCTGGGTGAGATACCCAAATTGGTCAAATCCAATAGTCCAAGATCCTTCCATGTTTGGAAGCAAATTCTTGTTCCCTTGGCAAATCTGTTTGTCCTCGAAGAGCGCGTGGGGGGTATGTGTGTGTATATATAGCCTTTATTATAAGGGTGTGCGGAAAAGCAAGTTTCTAACCAAGTTTGCTCCATATGTGGCTATAATTATGTGCCACTTTGGCCTGGGACTGACTCTACCTTCAAAAGGGAAGAGAAGAGGAGAAGAGAGGTGCTGAGATGTTGGATGAGTGGCATGTGGGTTGGGCGGGCGGTCCTGGACCGGCACAGGAGCAACATGCTGTATCCTGGATGAGGCCACGGGGTGGGCTTTGCCCTGGTCAGTTCACGGTCGGCACCTGGTTCTGATGGAGGCTGAACTCTTTGGCTTTGAGGCGCAGGCTGGCGATGCTGTTGGCCATGTTCACCCCCTGGGTGGGCGTCGCGGTCCCACTGGAGCTGTAGGAGGGCACAGTGCTGCGGGAAGGGAGCAGGGCAGGAATGAGGCATGGCCCACAGAGGAGCCCCCATGCCCCACGTGGTCCTGCTGGCTTCCCAGGCCAGACTGGCTGTTCCCTCTTATACATCTCCCACAAGAGCAGTCAAGGCTTCAACATTTTTATGTGGCTGGATGCATGTGGGAACCCCTCAAACTATGCACCAGGAGGCCCTGCCTTGAGCTTTTGGACGAGATGGCTGGACGTAGAGAGCTGGGAACCAGAAGAGATCCATGCCACCTCCCGTGCCGAGATGTGGGAAGGGTCAGCATGAGGCCAAGTGAATCCCTTGCGAGGACAAGGGCCCCGACTCTGGCCCCAAAATACATGGAGGCAGGGAAGCCTGCTCACTGGCGGGCAGGGGATTCTCAGATGGGACTGAAACTTTCCCAAAGCAAAGCTGGATGAGCTCCTTTCGGCCTCATAAAAATTCCCATGTCCTCAGCAGTGGCACAGGGTTGCAATCCCACGACGGTGGGGCCGTCCCTAGGCAGCCTGTCCCATGGCCATTTCCCTCCCAGCTCCTCCAGTGCCTGCACCTACCTGTATGGGGAGGTGCTGGTCCAGGAGAGATACTCTGGGGTCAGCGCAGTGGGCCGCGGCGCCATGGGCTGCTCAATGGCTGCTTCTTGGCTGTAGGATTTGAGGAGCGATGCCGATCTGTTGGCCAGCATTGCCCTCTCATTACGGCGAAACTTGGCCCTTCGGTTCTGAAACCAGACCTACGTGGGGAGGGAAGGTGGTCAGAGGAGACCCAATGCAAGCAGGGATGTCCCAACCATCAGTCCTACCGATCATGGTCATGTACAGGATGAAACAGAGGCAGGAGAGGGCACCGTCCCTGCTCTTGCCTGTGGACAAGGCAGAGGGTGTTGTTTTCTCCCACACAAACCTTTGCTCACCTGGACTCTTGCCTCGCTGAGGTTGACCCTTCTTGCCAGCTCCTCCCGCACGAAGGCATCGGGGTAGTGTGTCCTCTCAAAGACCCTTTCCAGAGCCTGCAGCTGGCTGCTGTTGAAGGTGGTGCGGTTTCTCCTCTGCTTCTTCTTCCTCTTGGTGGCCCCACGGCTCGGGCTCAGGCTCTCGCCTGTGGGGAAAGCACAGAAGAGGCCACATGAGAGCCAGACCCGTGTAAAACCCCACGGACCCCACACGAGGACCCAGCTGGTCATGAGCCCTCCTGGGGGTCTGCACTGATCTGCTTGGTACCAGTCGTGCTCCCTGCAGTCACCTGGGACTCTGCGGGAGCAACACCCGTGCAAGCCTGTGGTCTCCACGAGAATCAAAACCCACTTCAGGACCTGCCAGAGCTTACGGTTAAACCCAACATTTGCAAAGTGGTGGTTTCACATCTGCCTAAAACCACCTGGACTTCAGTGGATTCCACGGCAGCGCTTGACCCGAACTTCTGGGGCTGTATCTCACAGTCCCCCCACAACAGGGACATGTTCACAGGGTATCTTGGGCTTGGCTCTCACTAAGGGTCTAGGTCAAGCTGTCATAGACAGCATTGAAATTCAGCACCAAAAAACCCTGAGATGTGGGTCTCGGCTCCAACCTCCAGCACCCCCCGAAGTCCCAGCTGTGGCATGTCCCCAAGGTGACACAGGACTGCAGCCAAGCATCTGCTCATCAAACCCTGGTCTTCAGAGCTAGGAACGAACGCCACCGCGTCTCGCAGAGCTCAGCCTCCACAGTGTTTATTTCTGGCTTTGCTGGCTCATGGAAACATGAAGCTGAGGGTGTAGTTTGGTTTCTCAGTATTGATCTTGGGCTTTCAGCCAGGCTGAGATTAATCTCCTCTTTGTCACTAATATCATCAGGTTTAGGCAAGTTTATGAAGTCTTTTTCTGAAATACCCAGTCAGCTGCCTGCAAAGGCTTCATGGGGAACTCATCTCACTGTCATTCTTCCTTATGGAGGTACTGGTTAATTATTCTTTCTGTTAATAAAGCATCTGGATCCAATCTGTACCTACTGGTGGGAAAGTATTTTGAAATTATTTGAAATGTTAATAGGTTTATGGCATTCTGATTCATGGCAGGGTTATATTGGGGTTTTCTGCTCTGTATCATTGCAGAGACCATGATGGCAGGAATTATCACTCCCTAAATATGCTCAAGAAATAAATACTTGCTAATAAGCTATCTTGATACTTATTAAATAAATGTGCAGTGTTTTCACATGATACATGAGCAAGTAACAAAATCTACTGGAAGGGATGTTAACCGTCCTGCTTCAAGACACCACCATGCTGTTGAGCAGGAAGAAACTATGGGTTCCAAGATCTTTAAGGCCAAAAAAATCTTCTTGGACCTTAATTCTGAAAAATTCAAGCCACGAAACCAACAACAAGTTCTCCATCAAGTCCCTAAGGTCCCTTTGTGCCTGAGTATACCATTCTCAAGGGCTGTCCCATCCTGAGGTGAGCCATGAGGACAGAGAAACCCCAATTTCCATTGCTGGCAGCAGCCTCCTGGAAAGAGCTTCTCTGGGGCTTTGCTATAGCAAGGCCCAGTGCCAGAGCCTGAGATCACCGGCTGCCTCTGACACGCTGACCTCTTAAGGGATGAGGTGTTGGGCTGGGAGGAGATGCAGGAACACAGAGGTGGGACCTGAGCACCACCACTGGCCCCATTCCCCATCTCCCAGGCACACACAGGGTTGCTGCATCATTTTGACCATGATGGGGCCAAATTGCTGGGACTGTGGGAAGAGGAGAGCATCCCTGGATGGGAAGGGGAGGAAAAGGAGCTCTGCCCACCTGCCAGGGTCTCGCTTCAGCCACTGGCATTTCTCCGGGTCTTTTATTGTGTTCTAGGTGCGTTTGGACCTTGACTGTCTATCCCTTGGGCTGGAAACAGCCCATACTCTTCATATGGGACATGGCCTCTTCGTTGGGTACAGACATAATGGACGGCGCCGTGCCTGAAATAAATGCGGGTTTCAGGCCCTTTCCCCAGCCAGGAAACTGCAGGCTGCCCTTTGCCGCCGTTCGTGTTTAAAGGCTCACAAATAAAATTCTCCAGATTCTCTCCAGCCCTTGTTCCTGCAGCTTCAAATGTTCTGCCAGTCTCTACTTTCCAGTTGCCCCTTTTAGTTAAACTCCTTTTTTGGTCCTGTTTTCCTTCAGCAAACTAATGAGCCGCTGGATTAAAATACATGAAGTCCAGCCATGGTTGTCCCTGAGTTTTCCGGGAGCCTGGGACCAAAACAGGAACCTTCAGGCTGGGAAGGAGCTACAGTATGTAACAGGGCAAGAGATGTTTCCTTGCGGGTTTATGGCCACCCCGCTGGGTGTCTGAGGAAATTATAGACTGGGGTTTGGTTCAAAAAGTGCCCCCACCAAGGGCACCCACCGATCCCCACTGAACCAACAATGACTTCAACAGAACCCCAGTAAATGTATAAATAAAATTCATAACCCCCCTTTGGTTTCATCCCCGATTTAAAGTATGGCTATAGGACTTTTCCATAAGTGATGACTTCTCTTACCCACTCTAATTTGGCTGAAAGTAAGGAGGAGGAGGAAAGGTTTCTTAAATTAACTTTCAGACCAGCTCTGTAGGATCTGACCCCACTTCTGGCTGGTGTCTCTCTCCCCAAACCCATGGAGGTAACAGCTAAACGGCCACGGGATCTGGGTGATGCTGGGCAATTCCCCTACAGGGCTGGCAGATGTGCTGGGATGGACATTTAAGACTGGAGCTGGGTCAGGATGCGTCCAGGTGCCGGCAGTTCCTGGGTGGTTGGAGAGCTGTGAGCCCTGGGCTGTGCCTGGGTTGGGGCAGTTTGTTCACCCCCTATTGCTGTTTTTAATGGAGGGACCTTCTCCTTGCACCACAAAACCCCATGGGATGCTCCAGGGAGCTTCTCAGCAGATGCCGGTGGCCAAACCCCCTTCCCCACCTACTCACATCTCCCCTAAAACACTCTGCACCCCGGTGTAACTCAAGAGCTCACCAGTCCCCCATGGAAACCTTTGCTTTCCAGCTTGATTCTCTGCTATGTTCATTTTTTACCCCATTTTCCACCCCATCTCTATACAGCAGGGAGGCAGCTCCATGCCTGGGGTGCCTGCCTGGGTCCTCTGCTCTGCTCAAGGATGAGCCCTGGTAACAGATCAACATCTTTTCCCCATTAGCTCAGGCATCGCAGGCTTGTGGGACCAGATAAATGCCACCCTAATTGCTGGCGGCGTGTGCCTGACAGGTTTACAGCGTGCAAAGTCAGGCCGGATCGCTTCTATTAAAGATGCTTTAATAACCCCAAATCAGCTTTCCAAAAATGAGCATCACTAAGCGCTCTGCAGCATTAGAGAAGGAGCAGGGAAGGGGATGGGTTGAGTCCCCCGAAGACCCCCTGCCATCTCACTGCCACCCATCCGTCCGTGGGAATCAGATTTAATCAGATTCGCTGACACCTTGAGAGAGGAATCAGAAACCAGTTCCCCACCCTGATGGGCACCCAGAAATAAGAGTTTGTGCTTGCACAAAGTTAAAAACCAGCTCACTGCCGTCTTTCTTGTGCCCCAGAGCCGTACTCAGGGAGGTTACGGAGAAAGCTGAACCCTTGCCTTTGTCAGTTATAAACTGGGGACTTGTTTGGGGCATGGCTGGAGGCACCAGCGTGATTGTCCAATCCTGAGGTCAGAGGGGACTCCCGAGCCATCCCCCCAGCCACCTTCACCTTTGATGTATTTATCTTCCACTGATTACAGTTTCCGCTAATGGGAAAAAAAAAAATGCAGAGGAAGGGGGAAAACAGGGGGGATAACGTTACCAAATAATGAAAGATGACATGGGGGGGAGGATGGGGAGAGGGAGGCGCAGGGGCTTTGCACAGAGCAGGATGGACCTGGTGTGCTGCACAAAAAAAACCCTTAAATTGCCCCAGAGTGTTAGAAAAGACACAAGACTTTTTGCCCACGATTTGGATGAGCTTTGGGATGCTGGATGCAGCCTGGGTAACCTCCAGCCTCCTCTCCATGATGCCCAGCCTCAGGCAGTGTCGCCTGTCCCTGAGCTGGGCGCAGCCCTGGGAGCAGCACTCTGCCCTACAGTGCCATGGGGTGCTGGGAGTCACCCCAAAACCCTTCTCCATGCAGGAGCAGCGACGCTGGCAAGCCTGGACCATGCCGTGCTGGCGAGCCGCCCTGCCACTGGGAACTGGGGAGTGACTGGTCCTGCCCTGTTTGCAAAGGGAACGGCCCCAGCGCCGCCAGGTCAGAGCGGTGCTGGTTCAGCTGAGCACCAACCAAGCCCGCTTCTCCGGCTCTTGCCTTTTCCCTCTGTGCTTCCATTAGTTTTCCATAGGAAGGACTCGGTGGGTTTCAGCTGCCAAAACCTGGGTGCTGGACTTGCCAAGGGGGGGCCCCACGCTGGCAGGGCCCCCAGCCTCCCGCGCAGCAGCCGCCGAGTGCTGTAAAGAGGTAATTTTCACTAGATTTCCACCGAGGCTTCAGCTTTGACTTACGATCTCCATTAGCGAGCGATAAACGACCCCCGTGCAGCTGTGATCCAGACCTAACCAGCGTTTAAAATCCCAGCCGCTCGCATGCCTGAGCCCCAGGGACTGCAACGTCCCCGGGCAGGGATGGTCCACGGGACAGCCCGTGCCTCGGGATGGCTTTTGGTGGTGGGCTCCATCGCCAGCCATGCTCAGCCTCCTGCCATGGGGGAGCTCCCCTCTGAACACCCAATTTGGGGGATTTCTTTGCAAAATGCTCATCCCAGAGCACGGTGTTCGCTCAGCACCATCCCTGAGACCCGGGATGGTCACCTCGGCCAGCTGCAAGCCTGCCTTTCCCCCAGGGTGATGCTGCAAACCCCCCGCATGCACTGCCACGTCCTGGGACAGGTTTTGCTGGCTCCAGCTCTGCCACTTGGCTTTGGGGTGCAAATACCCCCCTTTTTTGTGGGCTATGCCAGGAGGGAGCGAGTTCAAACCTCTCCTGCAAAAATCCCAGGCTACATCTCCTCCAACGTGTTTCATTTTCCATTGCGCCGCAGACCCCAGAGCCCCAAACAGTTTTCTGCTGTTAAATTATTTCACGCGTTCCATTTATTTGCGAGCAGTTTGCCAAAGACCTTTTAAGCTTTAAATTTTTCACCCCCCCAGCCAAATGATCAAGTATGCCGTAACATTTACTTCCCTTCTCTGCCTGGAATGGCTTTTTTTTTCCCCCTTTTTCTTCTTGGGTATAATTTAAGGGTTGAAATAGCCTGGAGGGAATTAGCTGTAAATTCTTCCTAAGACAAATAAATTCAGCCCTCTAAGTTTCTACGTTTTTCAAACTGTTGAGAGACGTTTTGGGTTTGTTTTACTTGAAATAATGATCGTGGCATATCTGACCCTCAGGCTGCGACCGGCTCTAACCAAATAAATAGCTTTTATTAATTAAGGTTTATCCTTAACAAATAAAACCCCAATTTGATCTCGGCTGTCTGAATTAGCAAAAATAAACAACGGGTTCTCCGGGCACTTGATGTGGATTTAACAAATTAACGCTGGGCCTTCATCAGGGAAGCCGCAGGGTGGTGGAGGCCTTTTACAGCCAAGAAATCCTTTGGAAAAACAATGTCTTTCGTTTCTCCCATGGTCTCTCTCGGTAAACATGTGGACTCCCTTCATCCCTTTATATACTCGAGGGAAGCGAGGAGAGCTCCGGCGATGACGTCCGCCAAAGTTTCATGTGCAATTGTTTAACTTGTTCCTCTAAATCATGCGATGGGGAGGAAACGTTTCCCTTCAGATCGTGGTGAGCAGTGCCGGAGCAAAGCTCTCGGGTTTGGGAATTGCAGAGTGTTTGCCTGCTCCAGCTCCTTTTTATCCCGTAACCTTCAGCTGAGACGCCCAAAGTCCAGGGGTGATTTGGGAGTGAGTGGGCAGCCGAGCGTGGCTGAACCCCCTTTGCAGAGGCACTTCCCTGTCTTGAGACATGTCTGGGGACAGCCTGGGAGCCCCCAGGGGGGGTTACCTGCCCACGCTAGGGTTTTGCAGTGAGGAGAGGTTGCTGGAGGGATGTTCTATGGGTCAAAGGGGATCTGAGGACTTGTCCCAGCTTGTGGGCACAGGCAGCACAGCGTTTGTCACAGAAGTGATGGTGGGAGCTGCCTACACTGCTACAGGTCTTCAATCTCCCCAGATCGTCTTGGGAAGCCCGTGGGGCTGAGAAGCAGCTGGGAAGTTGCCCCTCCATGTGTCC